TGGGTGTTATGCACAAACAATGAATCATGGAACACTTCATCTAAAACTAATGATGTAATGTAGGGGATTAACATAAGAATAAAAAAAAAAAGATGATAACACTTGCCTAATATTTAATATACTCCCTAAAACGGAAGCAGGCCCTATATTAGACTCATTTAATTTACATAGAAAAGAATAGTAATGAAACAACTATAAATAGTTCAAAATGGAAGGACTCTAAAGGGCATCTGATCAATCCCTCTCATCCTATAGCTGAGAATACAAGGAAGTCTCCCAGAGACCAAGATTTGGTCAGGGAGCTAATTCATAGAAACATTGGATGGAGCTCTCGGTCTCCTCGCCCTTAGCAAAGCGCTATTTTAATTACCCTCTAATTTGTTGGGCTGTAGAATTTTTGCATTTTTCTGGATTAAGTCAAGAGTAGTAATCTCAAAATATTTCTTTCTGGATTCATAGCTCAGGGTGACCTCAATGATATTTAAGGCCCAACAACAGCTAATGAAGTGTTTATCAATTTGGACAAACCACACTACATGCTTTTTCCTATGCCTCGTTCCTGTTTCCCTAAGACTATTTATTCTATGTGGGAGAAACATGGCTAGAGTCAGCATCAGGAAGAGCGGGGATAGCAGAAAGAGAGAAAAGTAATCTCATTCATTTATTTTTCAGCTTTATTAAGGTATAATTGACAAAATTGTAAGGTACTTAAAGTGTACAATGTGATGATTTGATATATGAATACATTAGGAAATGATTCCCCTCACTGAGTTAGTCAATTAACATATCCATCACCTCACATATTTACCTTTTTAATTTTTTTTTCTTGAGAACAGTTAAGTTCTCTCTTACCAAACTTCAATTATACAATACAGTGTTATACTATAGTTACCATGTTATTTATTGGATACTCAGACTGTATTCATCTTATAATTGAAAGTGTGTTGAGTGAGCAGGAAGGAGATGAAAGATTGATTCTGAATATAAACTCGACTCCTTGTTTAGAGTGAGGTGACTGAGCCCACCTGTCCTGTACCTTCTACTTGTCAGAATCACCAGGGACACTAACATTGAGTAGAGGTAGTCTCTTCATTTCTTCATACTTAAGAAAAGTCTTCTCCCTAGCTTTATTAAACAGAGAGAACCATGTTTATTGTTGTTTTCTTTAGTGGTATACATAGAAACGTAGAAAATATGAGATATAGCCACAGTCATAATAGAACAAGTCTTCATTATAGTTACAATTTTTTCTACAATTTCATGGGATTATGATGAGCATATTATTTTGAAAGGAGAGCTTACTGAGATAAAACAGCACTGTATTGCAGTCCAACTAAAGCTATGTACATATGCATACTTATTTATTTATTCATTTACTTATTGAGGTAAAATAGCATCACAACAAATGGCTAAGCTCAATACAGGCTTGATACTGAAAACTATTTTATTAGCATAAGGGCCTCCAACATACTGGTATTAACCTATTGATAAATATTTAGACTATTTATATTTTGCTCTCTTTGACAACTAAGCCGAAATAAACATAGTTTAAGGCAACCTTTGGAAGTGTCAGCATTTCTTATTTTATCTTCTTTGTGGTAAATGCTATTCACAGTGACAATTAAAATATTGAACAATGAAGGACAAAGATTGGCAAATTCATCTTGAGTCCATCTTATTCTCTTACCAATTTTTTCTTTAACATACAGAAAAGTCATATTTTTCAACAACCTTCAGCTTACAGTTTTGAGGAGTAACATTAGTGCTTTTTGGCCCAGACGTGCTTACTCAAAGCTATGTGTTACAGATTTTCAGTGTTCAGAAAAGCATCTATACAAGTGTTAATGCTATTTAAAAAATTTCAGAAAATGAGAACTTACAGAATACAAGTTGTCCTGGCTTCAAGCTATTCAACACTGCTGCTCACTTCCATCGTGTCTTTGGAAAGATAAACTACCCAGTATACAAGGTTAAATCCTGCAAATGCAACTGGGAAGAGAATCCGAGAATACTGGTCTATTTTACTGGTGCCTCCAAAGGCTGGAGAGAGTGGTGGGGGTGTGACAGGTGTTGATTGTAAGATAGGAGCTCTGGTGAGGACTTTGCTGGCCTCAGGGGATGGAACTATCGGCAAAGTCAGAGAGGTGATTCTTTTCTTCAGATGATACTTGGAATCAGGATGCTGTAGGGAAAAGACATAAATATTCAGCCTAGGTAAAAGACTAGAGATCACTTAGTTATTCACTTTTTCACCATGAACAGATATTTATTGACTACTTACTATGTAAGATAAAATATTAGCAAATTCCTTTTTTTAATATTAGCAAATTCTTAGTATTTGATGGTGCTACTTTTCCAAGGAAGTGGTAAAACAAATTTAAAAAAATGATTTGCAGCCATCCAACATCCTATAATTTCATACATCAGCAATTGATGCCAAGCATATTCCACGTCCCAGAAACTGTGTTGACCACTGGGCCATTAGGAAGAAATGAACCAGGTTGCATAGGCTTATCCACCCCCTTCTCCTCACCGGTGATGCATAAGCCTATAGGGCAATGTGTGTGGGCAATGAGAGGGCATTTAAATTTGGAATATATGGACAAATAATTAATACAAGAAAATATAACAGTTCAGTTAGTTGATATCGTTCTTCTAGCCTACATCCTCATCTTCACAGGTTCATATATTTGAACCAGCTGAGATAACAGCAACAAAAAATATTAAGGTGCTCATTTATGTGAAAACCAGTGACAAAGTGTCAATACCCTTAAACTGAGTGGGATGACTGTTCATCCCTTGAAATACACCTGCCTCTTAAGCCCAGAAGTTCTATATTGAGCGCTTTCTGCTTCCCATTCAGAACTTCTCCACTGGTCTCATCTCCCTCCATCCTAAGTCACCAAAAAATGATTCATTTACTGACCTCAGAATTGTCAGAATTATTATATGTTCCTTTTTATCATTAGAAATCATAAGACAACAATTTTTAGTCCTGAAAAGGATATTTAGCACATTAATTGTTAGGTGAAAAGGCTAAGTCCAGAGAGTGGAGCTGGAAATGCCTCACCCGTAGTCACACAGCTAGTAATAAACTACCCTGGTCAAATGCAATGCTTGTTTCATCATCCCCACATTTTCTTGTCTTCACTCTAAAGTACTGGGTGTAGTTCAGAGATTCTAATTCTGTTTGCTTTAGACTCCTTTTATACTGTGGAGACTAGAGGACCTTGCTCTGATTTGTATCTTTTCTTGTCTATATCCTGTAATAGTCACTCTCCTTGTGACCAGGTTGCCCTTGCTGGGTCTCTGCCTTCAAACACTTGCTGTACATTATCTCTGCTCTTGTAAAACTGCCTTGTTTTCTCCCTGGCAACAAAATCACCACTTTGATGCCTGGCAGGGTATGTTACTCACATGGGCAGACTCCCGTGGCTTTAGCCAGCAACCCCGCAGAAACAGGATGAGGCAGCCACCTCCCCTGTGCCGGCTGAGCCACAGGACCAGAATGACCTGCCGATGTGGTGACATTTGGAGTGCGAGAAACAGAGATTCCAAGAACCTCTTCTCTCTGTATTCCCCTTTTGAATTTTGCTGTTTGATTTGTCATGGAATTTACTGAGTATCTAAATAATAATAGTCATCATTGAGAGTTCAAGCCCAGTATGCATTTAGAGGCCATGGGAAAATCTCCCTCTTCATCGAAAACACAAATGAGTCTCTGATTTCTTATGACCGTGGTGAGTTGCAAGGAAAGAATATCTTTACTTGTTATGTGTTGGCCCAGGATTGTGCTAGGGACTCTTGACATAATTAAATAAAGAAGATAGAAGGTAGAAGATAATTTAAAATAGTAGAGGCCTCAGTCTGCTGATCTTAGGAAATAAGTGGCACTTCCTACTAAAAACATGTGACAGCTAAGGACTGCTGTGCCCAGAGTCACGAGTCAGCATGTGGATAGGACCAGAGTAGTGATATTTTGGTCTTAGTGCATGCTGCCTGTCTTAGAGAATAAACATAGCACCTTCTTTCCAGAGTTTCTATCATGTATCTCAGACTCTGATTTGAATTTTCAGCCATTAACAATGTTATTGAAATATTCTCCACCTGAAAGAGCAAAATGTGCTACTGTTTCATTTTCCAAAAAGAGTTATCCTCCTCCCAGATACATGGAATATTAAAATATTTTACTCTAGTAAAATTTCTAAGGATCATGATGGAGTAAAATGAGGGCAAGCCTGTGGAGCAGATACTCTTTCTAAACTCATGATTTTTAATAGCATGCATTCCCTGTGTTTATTTCTTTTTTTAAGGAGAAAGAGGGCAGACGTGAAAAAGTTCGTTGAGACAAAAAAGTGATTATAAAACATAATCTACCATAAAGATGTAAGGCATTGTTTTATCTTCCCCTCTTTAGAGCTGTGGGGGAAAAAAGTTAATTGTCAATCTTTTGGCATTGTCACAATGTCACACATGACTTAATAAGAATTACCAAATGACCCTTGTCCAGAGTTAAGCAACATCACTCAAAAATACCATGAAAAATTTAATAGCACTAGCCTGGAATGAAAGATCTCCTACAACAGGATTCACCCTTTCCTCATCTACTTTTCCAAACAGTCTCTATGGAGGGTTGAGTAAGAGTTAAGAGAGGACAAGAGAGTCAGAAAGCCCTCGATTGCAATTCCATATATACTACTTACCTGCTATATGTAGTTACCATCTTTAAAGCTAGGGAAGATTATTACTTTCTCTATAAGTTTTTCTTTTCTTTAAGAATTTGAGAAAGAAAATGTAAGGTATAAATTTATAGATAAGATAGATGGATAGACATTAGATATATATAATATATATCATAGATATACTAGAAAGAGAACACTTTTTTGCCTACTTAGATGTTATAATTTGTTCAGCAGTTATCACATTCTTCCTTGTAAATATTATTTCTGTTGCACCTTATCTCCTTTCCTGACATGAAATCTCCTTATTGATAGAAGGCATATTATTTTCAAGTATAAGTGTTCCACAGTGCCTAGTCAGTGCACAGAACATAGTATGTGCTTAATAAGCATATGCTGAATCAACAAATGAATGAAAATATAAACATTTCCAGGATTTCTTAGAGTAATCAGGCAAGGAGAAGAAAATAAAAATTTTGATGATTATTTTACATTATATTTTAGTGTATTGTTTCATATTACAAGTACCATATATAAATGCTTACAATTGACAAGCACTACACAGCATTTTGCATGCATTATTTTGCCTATTCCTAGAAAAAAAACTATAATGTAATATTATTATTTTCATTTTAAAGATGAGCAAATGAAGGCTTGAGTGGGAAGCTCACGCAGTAACTGGCAGTGTCCGATGTAATCACTCTTGGATGTTAAGATCACACTCTTAATAATTATTATGGTTTCTTCCCATCAGCTTTAAGGTTCAGGGCATGGTTTCTCAAACACAGAACTATTGACATTTTGGGTAGGATACTTTTTTGTTGTGGAGGATTGTCCTGTACATCATAGGATGTTGAGCAGCATCCCTGGGTTCTACTTCTACCCACAAGATGCCTGTAGCATCTTGCCCCCCCCCACAAAGTTGTGACAACCAAAAATATCTCCAGACATTGCCAAATATTCTCTGGGGAGAAAAGTCACCTACCACTGAGTATCACTGGCTTAGAGTTACAGATATCTCACTGTCCAGCAGCGATTGGGGGTGTTTCTAGCAGGCAGCAAATATGATATGTTCAAGGAAATGCAAGAGGCCTGGCTAACCTACATGCTGGATAATCAGCTCCTGCATAATTGGGAATTGGCAGTACAGGAAACTGGACCCCAATTTAGAAGAATCACATTGAATTTCTGAAGTGAAAAGAAAGCCAATTTTGCAAGCCATTCAAGATACAGGTTTGCATCAGACCCCGCCTGTTCTATTGTAACCCCGGCAGCTTCAGCTGATGGTAAAATAGGTTTTTGTCAGAGTCCAGATGAGGGCTCAGCTTGGGGCTGTCACTGTTTTGAGTGGAACACCTGTGGTTTTGAATTTTTTCAGGGCTCCCCTGCTGCTGAATGCCATCCTACTTTGGGTATTTATAGAGCATTGCTTTGTTTTAAGTAATGCCATATTGCAAAGGTACTTTGAGTCAAACTGGACTTTATGACAATCAATTATTTGATGTAAATATAAGACATTTGTAAAGTACTTAAAGGAATTTTTATACAACATTCAGTGAGTCTAATATGTTAAAGAAGAGGGGGCAATGGGTTACCTCTCAAGAGAGATATTCTAACCATGGCTGCATTATCCAATGGACAAACAAAGCACCTGGTTTTAGAACCAGCAAACAAGGGCACTAAATATAAATTTGAAAATATTTAGTACTTAATATTTTTTAAAAAACTATTATATTAATTATTTGGAGGAAATAAGAATTTCAAATCAAATTTTCTTGCATCTAAATAATAGCTGGTAGAATTGGGACAGAGACAATTCCAGAATTTCTATAAAGAAGCAGCTTATTGGCAGCAATCTGGTGGGTCTGTGGTGCTAAGTACATGTCTAGAAACCATATTGGAATGTTTGGAGGGTAAAGAAGGGAATACTGGATGGGGATTTGATAGAAGGTATGGGGAAAGAACTAACCACCTACACCCCTTATCTAATCCACCCTACCCTCTCTATAAGTTATGAAATAGCACAACCATGGTGAAGGGACTCAGAGTCTCTGATGGGCTTAATTCAGCCCTTAGTTCTACAGAGTAATGACAGTCTTCAAAGAAATCTCGGCAATATTTGGAAATGGGAAGTAAATCTTTCAGTATTCTATGCTTCATATCTCTCTACATAGGTGGAAGGCAACATGATAATGACCCAGCAGATCATCCCAACCTTGAAAGGGAATATAGAAAGGATATGTCTTATTTCCCTCTCTATTTCCAGGTTGCTAGCAACTGACTTAGTGTTTCCAGAACAGGACCAGGCTAATCCCTCTGTTCTCAGCTGAGGAAACACTTCTTCCAGAATGATGATCCCTCCAGGCTGTGTTCGGTACTCTTGCATGGCTCGTCTTTAACCACTATACATCTCTAACCACAACCTTTATCATAGTGTATTGTTATGGCTCATTGGTTTGTCTTTCTTCCTGTTCAGCAAGAAGCTAGTGAGGGAAGAGGCCATACTGATGCGACACACTAATGTATCCCCAGCATTCTGCAAAGGATATGAAACATAAGCGCATCTAACAAGTGCTTATAGTATGAATAATTCATTGAAGACATAGCTACTCACTACATGGATGCCGGATGAAATGGAAAAAAAAAAAGTGAATAAACAATGTAATCAGTATAAATATAATTATTGTCCTGACGAATGAAATTTTGGCCAATTTTGTTTGTAGATGATTTACCAAGAATGTCACACCTCCTGTGAAAAAGGAAAGCCACATTGGATGTGTCGATGGGTGGGGGGAATTCATTCTTAGGAACATAGTAATGAGAGTTTAGACCTTTAAAATAACAAGGAAACTAGCAAAACATCCAAAAAGTGATTGAGGTCCAAACTTGGTCTCACACGCAGAATAAGTATACCCCAGACACATATTAATTTATGATACATGAAGATAAGAATAACTCTCTAATGCCAAGACAGCATACCAGATAAAAGCAATAAGGAAAGGTACCATATAAGCAGGAAAGAAGCTGTGGGTAATTTGTTCTCAAAATCTAAAACAAAAAACAACAACAAAAAAACCCGGTATCTAGTTCCAAATGCCTTAAAACCAGAAAGATCATTAGTAAACCAAGCGCTTCTGAGGATTTAGTTTTAGATGTCTCTTTGGGTTTGAGTATTAGATTTAAAACTCCTGAATTTCTTTGTCTTTATTATATTAAATTTCAAGGCCAAAATCAAAGTGATAAACTTTGTCCCGTATTCATTCTAAGTAGTTTCTTGTGAAAAGCAATTAGGACATTAAAATATAACTTAGAATCACACGAAACATCTAAGCACTTAATTTTATTTCAACCTCACCACATTGGTTTGCTATTTCAATGTCCAACTTACTCAAATAACATTATTTTGATGACAACTGAATAGGCATTTTTAAATGTCATGGTATTTGAAAGAAAAAATGGCCTAGCAATCATAATATATACATTGTGTTGTATAAATTGCAAATGTATAATTTATGTTTGTTCCTTTACATTATATAAAACAAATTGCCAAGGTTTGACATGAATAAATAAAATGAAAATGTTCTTTGTAATCATCTATATTTATTATTGGTACCTACAAGGTTTGTATTGTTAAGTTTGCTTATTTTGGTTTTTATTTTTATGCTTTGACCTACCCTTTCAGAAACAAAATGCTGCTTTTCATTGCCTTAAAATGTTTCAAGTGAAGCCAGGTTTAGAAATAAAATTTTTCATAAGAAAAAAGTCAACTTGCAAGAAAAAAGTACTTTGAGATGATTTAAATGCATTTTTTAATCTAGCTTCCCAAAGGACCTGCTCATTATATGTTACTATTTTAGAATTGTAGAAGATAGCTATATGAAGACCTGAGATCTTAAATTCCATCTTATTAATAAATTATATCTTTAAAATAAAAGACAAAGAGAATACTAACTCTCTGCTTTCTCCAAGGATTTGAAATCATATTTCTCTCAGGAATACATATTTCAAAAAAGTTGAAGTAAGGAAATTGGTCTTTCTTTTTATCTCAATATCAGATCAATGAACATATTCAAAATCATTGGACTTATTTTTTTATCTTGTTTCTCATGAATTTCTCTTTTCAATTTTACTGCATTTCTGGAAGGAAACTGTTAAACTGCATTCTGATAAATATGAATTCTTCATTTATAGATATATGTTAAGGTGATATGTGACCACTGGGCAATATGTTGATTATATACCCATATTAATACAGATGGCTTATAACATAATAACTTTTATTTTTACAAACATAAACTAATTCTCAAAAATATTTTCTGAAAAAATTATTTTCAAGTGTTTTGGATTGAGTCTTCAGACTATCATCCTTTTGCTATAAAATTTATATTTTTACGGCCTTTAAAAATACACATATATAAAGAAAACATCATTAGGTCAAGGGAAGAATTTTGGGAATGACCTCACATTCTGAAAATGTTTTATCTTGTGGTGTGCACTCTTTTATATATCAGCCTTTGAGGATTGTTGGAGAGGGGATAGTCTCTGCCTCTGTAAATCTGTGTGTATTGGACTTCTGCGATCAATTCCTAGTTTTTCTACCGACTAGTAAATAACATCTTCCCTCTCCAAGATACTGTTTTTGATTTGTAAGCAGAGGTAATTAGTCTGGATCACTGGATGGGAAACTTTTTTTCTTAATTTTATAGCTATTTATCACTGATTATAAGTCTTTGAATAAAAACACTTTAAGATACATGTATTTAATATACAAATGTGAACATGAGTGTTTTCATGAAAATCAAAAACCGGGCTTATGATTCAGCATTCGTAGAACCTAATATTCACATCTTGCCTTCATGGAATGAAGTAGCAAGCAGATTTCTAACAAAAATTGTCCATTCTATAGGAGTCCCTGTTTATTTCCCTCAGACTCTGAAGCCTCATTAGGAACTTTTTTTTTTTTCACTTTATTCTCCCTAGTTGGTATAAGTAAACCTGTTCAAAGGAAACATCTAAAGGCTGAGAAGAATGTTCTCATCTCCTCTGAGAGCTCAGAATCTGCTAGTACCAGTGAGGATGATAAAAGAAAAATGCCAAAAGTTTAGAACAAAGATAAATGAAGGATTATTGCTTGTTTTTTTGCTATGAAGTAGGAAAAGAAGTTGGCCTTAGAATCAGAATTATGTAACTTGTGCTCAACTAGTAGTACTTTTGGACTATTTAGTTGTTTGTGATCACTGTTAGGCTGCCTTTTCCTATATTGATGGGTAACATTAGAAAAGTAAACAATTACCAAAACAATCTCAGCTTCCAACGGTTCGCTGGCTTTTGATATTGTCACTGGGGGTGAGGCTGCAATCTGTGCCCTCCTTTTGGCCTTTTGTGTCTGAAGATTGGTAAAGTAGTTGACAGCCGCGAACTCAATAAGAGCTGAGAAGACGAAAGCAAAGCAAACAGCTATGAACCAATCCATAGCGGTTGCATACGACACTTTTGGCAAGGAGTGCCGGGCACTGATGCTTAATGTGGTCATGGTTAAAACAGTGGTGATCCCTAAAGTGAAAAAGAATAAGAAATGCAGTATTAGCATTTGGAATCCAATAACAACATCAAATGAGAATGTGTCAGTGGATTAAACACTCTGCAAATGTAATTTTTGTTCTTGTTTTATAATTGTTCACAATTATTATCATAGGTATTAACATTTTTGTATGTTTCAATACCTAGTATGGTGCCATATACACCATAGTTGCTCAAAAAATATTTTCTGATTTGATTTAGTTTAACTATTATATAGTTAACTCATGAATAATTCTAGTTGTTTACTTCTTAAGAAAATTTACAGCAAATTATCATATAAGTACTAAAACCTTGAATTCCTGGTCAGTTTGAATAGCTGATAATATCTATCAACATATTTAAGAAGTCTGTTTAGTATGAACAGTAAACATAAAGTTAGGTTCCTCATTTTTTTACATTTCTAGCTTGGTTTTAAGGTAAAATATTTACTCATGAGAAAATAATTTCATTACTCAGTCACCAGCAGTTTTATATCTTGTATAATAGTTGGGGAATATATGTAATTTGAAGATGGTCAACATCATTATATAGATATTCTTTTATAATTTGCAGAAAGAAATCTATTTTAATATAGTAAATTAGAAAGTCAAAATTCATCTGAGATTTCAATTCAACTCAGGTCTTCGCTACGAATCTTTCTAAATGTATAATCATGAAAACTCAGAAAAAGTTGGATTTTGTTATTGATGATACTTTCCATTACAACTTTTTTTCTCAAAATTAATAGTGCTTCTATATATCAAAAATGGAACTCAGTATTTAGGTTGAACCATGGGAAATTGGTTATATTTAACTATTTTTATATCTAGAAAAATGACAGTTTCTTTTTTGTGTGTGTGTCAGAACATTTATTTTATTTTATTTTATTTTTTTATTCTTATGTTAATCCCCATACATTACATCATTAGTTCTAGATGAAGTGTTCCATGATTCATTGTTTGTGCATAACACCCAGTGCTCCATGCAGAACGTGCCCTCCTCAATACCCACCACCAGGCCAACCCATCCTCCCACCCCCCTCCCCTCTAGAACCCTCAGTTTGTTTTTCAGAGTCCATCGGAAAAATGACAGTTTCTTATGGTTCACCTAATAAAAGCAAGATATCACTTATATATTAAATATAATTTATATATTAGGTTTCAATATCTTTGCCTTTCTTTTCATGGATTTACATGTCAGTTTTTACTTTTCTGCTTTTCCTTAATTATGAAAAAGCAAATTGAGATTTAAAAAATAAGTAAAAAAAAAAAAAAAACACTCCTAAATAGGGCACATGAAAGTCACAGGAATCCAGCCAGAATTCTTGCCAAGACAAATGTTTTTGTGAATTCACCACATAGCTTGGGATAATATAAGGGTCATTTAATATCATACATATGCCTTAATGAGATAGGAGTCTATTTCCTTTGTGGATTGAAAAAGTGCCCTAGTGTGAATATGCCCCGAACATTCACAATTCCCCCAACATATCACAAGCAATAAGAGCTGGAGGATGAGTGGAAGTATAGCCAAAGAGTGAAGCATACCAAAGACAGTTCTAGCCGGGACAGATTCCTTGTTAATCCAGAAAGACACTTGGGAAAGAATGACCGTCATAATGCAAGGAGTGTATATCTGTATCATGAAGTAGCCCATCTTCCTTTGCAAGTGGAAATAAACTGTCATTATTACGTATTCACCTGTTGGAAAACACGTATATCAGTATTATTGCTGTTGACAGTGTGCAGAAAGAATGCAGCTGGAAATAAATCTTGCAGATCTTTAAATTAACATGGGCTGGAATAAAACAAGTGAAGGCATATTTCACTGTATGACAAAGATACTTGATCAAGCAGATGATAGATACATCAGCTCATTGTTTTTGGTCGGGTTCTTTGTGTCATATACATACAAAACTATTTATTCCAAGGTTACACAAATCTTTATATGCACATGGTTGCAAAATCAATTTTAAAGAATGCTACTCATCACTTCAAAACAGCAAGCATAGCTGAGGATGGCTAATGCAGAGAAGAAAAAAATAGATATTTTGAAAATGTGCATGGGAGTCACCTTGCTGAATTACATTCATTAATTGGTCTAATTCTTACCTGTGTTAGATTTAATTGTCTCACTAGATACTGTTTGTCCAATCAGATCGTACTGGAGCAGACTTGAAGATTCTTCTGGAACTTCGACTGAGTAAAGTGGTCCTTTTTTCCATGTATATATGATTTCACTTTTGGGGTAAGCATCTGAATTTTTTAAACAAATTAAACATAGCAGTGAATCTGACTAGTTGTGTTTTTTTTTTTTCAGAGCAAATTTTTTCCATATAAAAAAGAAATACAAACATAAATTTTCTTTAATGTTTTTCTTAATCGGGGTGACTAAAGCCTCCGACTATTTAAAAGATTGACAGACATGATTAAGTAAGTATATTCCTGGAATCACACTGAGAGTATCATAGCAATATTTCTCTTTTGCTTTCTGGTCTCTGACTACAGTCAAATAATTGTATATATGTATTTTTTTAAAGACTGCTGCCTTTATTTAATTATTTAGACTTATTTATTTTTTTCAGAGAAAGGGGTGGGGGAGAGGAGAGGTGGGAGAGGGAGACAAGTAGACTCCCCACTGAGCCCAGGGAGTCCTGAGATGGGGCTTGATCCCAGGAGCCTGAGATCATGACCTGAGGTGAAATCCAGAGTTGGACACTTAACCGACTGAGCCACCCAGGTGCTCCAATAATTATATATTTTGAATGCATTATTTGACTCTCAGAAGCTTTTTGTAACTTACAACTCCCAAACTTGAGTGGACAAGCATGCCCATCCATAGGAAAGTTAACCAGCCTCATGGGACAGTCAGCATTGATGGTAAGCCTAAGGACATTGAAATAAATGGTTCCAAATTAGTATGTTGGACAAATCATTTGGGTTAGAGGAAGTTGAATTGGGGAAGCCTCACCTCATGGTATATAAAATGGTTCCATTCTGCATTATTCTGAAGAGTTTATTAGGGGTTGTCATATTGTGTGCAATTGATTTTTTGCCATTCCTAAAAAAAGTGTCAGGTGTCCAGATTTTACTGACCATCAAGTTATTCAAACTCAAAATCTCAGTTGGCCCCCCAAACTTCAACCTCTCATCAGTCCAAGTCTGGCGGAAGAAAACGTCCATTGTATACTCCTAGGAGAAAATAAGATATTCATGAAAGCTGGGGAGATAGTTTATTAAGAATAGTTTATTCACTAGCTTCTATACCCAATTCTAAAATTTAAGAAATAAAAAACTTTTTATGATAATAACCTTCAGAGAACCTGTGATTTCAGGAAATTATTATTTTTCTCAAACTCAAAGTTTGTAATATTATCATAAAAGATGGTGTGGTGTTGTGCAAACCTCCCTCCTGCACCTTGACCCTCTTTAACAATCTTCTTCTTTTCTGTCAGTCATCCACCTCTCCATCTATTGACCTATCAATTTCCCCTCCATAAATTTAGAAAAAAAATATGAAAAGATTTACAGTCTTGGTTTTATGCTGGTCTTCCTACCATTACTTAGTCTAACCATTCCCCCCAATGCCTTGTTCACTTTCAAAGGTGTCTCCTAACACCATGGTACCATTTAGCAAACTTCCAAGGACAGGTAAACTTTGCTAGATAAGTGTACTCTGGTTGCACATCATAATAATTTTATATTTTTCTGGAGGATATAAAAGCAAATGTTACCATGATTACTTAGAGCATCATTTAAGTATCCATAATTAAAATTTTGAGTTTTAATTTGTGGCTTTTATGAAATAACTTTAGAAATCTTAAGAATTATCGTGAGAGCCATTGCAAAAGTCAATGATAATTAAAGCTTGTAAATATAACAAAATATTGCCAATAATTGCTTCGCCTACTTTATGTGTTCCTGTATGAGACCTATTACTGCAAGTTGTGATTAGATTTTCACAATATAATTTGACACACAGTATATCCATATAATAATGATCCAGGCAATAACAAGTCTCCACTGTACAAATATACTTAAATAATGAGACACATACATAAAATGAAGTGCCAAGTGTTCCCCAGACTTCAATAATATAGTATGGTATGGTTGTGGTTATTTATATTTGGGGTGAATCAGTACTAAATGAAAAATATGATAGTAAAATAATTGAGGATTCTGGATAATGCTGACCCTCCTTTCTTTCAAGTCTTAAGACATTTATCTCTTAAATAAAGTTCTTCTCCCTCTCCTTCACTTCCTCGTTTTCTTTCTTACTTTTTTCCCTCCCTTCCCTTTCCCTTCCTCTGGTACTCCTTCCTTTTTTTTAATCCCTTCTTGCTTCTTTCTTTTCTTGTCAACTCAAAGATCAGAAGATAAAAAAGTCTCCAATAACTATTTATCCAGAGCAGCATTTCCCTAATAAACTTTAATGACTCAACTATTTAAAGAGTTATATTCATTTTGATTTTACTATTTATATTTTACTTTTAGGGGGAAATGGTACCTGAGAACTGTGAAAAAATATCATGATGCACTTCGTCCTAGCAGACTAGTTCACATTTTCATTGCCACTTACTATAAATACTCTCTTATGAATCCTACAGCCATCTGTACCTGGAACAGAGTTCCCAGAACACCTACTGGTCCATTTGCAACACAAAAGGTACAAAGCACTAGCTTTTCCAAATGATGCCCTTTACTGTTTTAATAAAATATACTGAAAATGACGTGCTACAGGAAACAGCTATATTTTAAGTTTCATAGATACTTTCAATATACTCTTACGTGACATATCTTTGTTGATTTTTCTTTTTTCTATTCTAAAAATTTACCAGGACTTCATAAAGATGGGGAAAATCTTATCTTTGTAGAAAAGAATCAGTGCATGATATGTGGCCCAAAGAGAGAATAGAATCTTAGAAAGTCCCCCAGGTTAAAATGTTCAAGCAGAGCCCTTAGTGAAATGTGAAGGAGATTAAGCCAGTAATCTGCTCTAATGACCATGCCCTCCCAGCATGAGTACACATATTGCATTAGGACTCTGGAGCCAAGCTTGGTAACAATGCCCAAGATCATTAGTTCTGGGACTCTGCCCTCCCGCCAATAAGTAAAATTACCCTCCCCACTCAGAGCTCACTCACCATCTCCACATCTGACACGGGCCCAAAACTGGTCACATAAATGTCTGTTTTGACTTCAGTGACAGCACCTGAAATTAGCCCAGAAGAATGGGGGCAAATATCACCAGTGATTTTAAGGACGCTGAACTTAGTGACCCTAGCACAAAGTCCCTTCTCATGGTCAGAACCTGCAATCCATCCTAAAGGAATCCAGTAACAGGAGCCTTTGGGTTTTTCAACTCTGAAAACTCATACGAGTTGCATTATTTTGAAATTTTTCTGGTCAATTTGGGGAATTTAAGGAATGGAAGAGAACTAAGTATTCTCATAAAAATTATAACAATAAGTAACACATCTTATAGTTTTTTGGGGACAAATGCTTAGAAAAGTGCTTTAGATGGAGAATCTCATTCTACACTCACACAACTCTATGAGGCAAGCACTGTTCATACTCCCACACTACAGATGAGGAAGCTGAGGCTTAGAGGGTTCAAATAACATGCATAGAAGGTCACAAACAGAGGAAGGGACAGAGACTGGACAGGAACACGTGGACTCTCCCAGTACCCCTGCACCTTACCGCTCTGCTATCCTTATGAAGCGTCTGGGTCTTGGAACAGAGGGAAGGGGGAAAGAGAGTAGAGATGTTTGGTTTAGTAAGGATGCTGCCTCTCACCTCCAAATCCCGGCCGCAGCCGGTTGTCATAGCCTTCAAGCAAGTTGTCCAGGATACGACTGATGTTTTTGGAGTAGAAGTTTCCTTCATCTTCAAGTTTCCCTAGGGTATTTTCTACCCTGTGAGTAAACAGTCCATGATCCTCACTCCCAGGCTCAGAGAGAATAGGCTGTTCAATCTACTCATCTATCCCACCACAAATACATGCCACACCACCCAGGCTTCTTCCATGATTTGGTATAGAAGTCACCCAGTAGGTATGTGCTTTCGCTTTCCTCTGAACTAAAAGGAAAAATCAGAAAAAATCTTACTCACCATAGAATAAGGTACAGCCAGGACAGAGGCGACGCCATCCTGCAGTGCTCTGCAATGCCCAGTTCACCCTCCTCCTGGGTTCTCCTCCCTCTTAACAACCCCCCCCTTTGCCAATCAACTAGAGTAATCTTCCAGACCCCTCATATCTCTTTTTCCTGTTTGTGTCCAGCCAGTAATCTGTAGATGAAGAGGTTGCCAGCAAAACTTTAAATGTTCCCCTTGCTCTCTTGTTCTCGCTTCTGCCTTTTCATGTAGAACAAGGTGGCTTGTGGTCTTAGACTACATCCTGATGGACACTCAGACTCTTCTGGTGGACTCACTTGGGAAAGGAGAGTCTGAAGGGACAGTGTATGGTTGGAGAGCGGTGACAATAATCGAATAAGGCATTAGGGGAGATTAGAAGGAAGAAATCCACTGCTAGTTTTGGCATGGAATTAGCAGGGCCCTGTGAGGAAATCTGGAAGGCAGTGGCATCTCGCTGAGTGAGATTATGTTCCAATGGGCTCAGCATTTATTATTTCTGTGGTTCACAGAAGGATTCCTACACAGCTCTTACTGCTTAAAAAGTCTAACAATATTGAGATCCTTTTGGGTTCTCTTTCTGATTTCATCATCTTTAATGCATCAGACACACCTTTCCTCCGCATTTAAAAATTGTCCCTTATTATTCTTTGAAAAGTATTTATAATATACTAGAACAATGCCTGGCTGTCTTGCTATTGGGTTAATATTTTTTGGTTAAGTACTTTGCTGATCCTTCTTAAGATACAACATCTCAAGCTAAGCCATACATGGGTCCTATCACTATCTTTAGAAACTTGGCCAGTTTCATGGATGCTGCCTATTAGAGACAATGTCCGGAAATATCTGATTAAGGTTATCCATGTAGAAATACTGTAAGAATAAAACATCCATGGACATGGTTAATGATGATGTTGCTGGCACTATTTCACTAGGCTTGCCACAGGTCAAAAGCAAAATGTTTGAACCCAAGAAATAGCATTCTCTGCCTAGTCTGGTAGATGGAAGTTGACATAAAAGAAGTCACTTTAAGCCTTAAAATTTTAATCTTTAAGTAATTTAAAATAAGAATAAAGAAAAGCATTGTGAATCTCTCTCTCTCTCTCTACATATATATATGTAGAGAGAGAATATATATATACATATATATGTATATATATATATATATATATTTTTTTTTTAAGTTTTCTTACATTGTTTTACTTGTGCTAAGCTGAAACCTGCACCCTGGTCCTAGCTCTCACCTTTGAAACCATACACAATAATTTGTCAGGGAAAGAGCACATGGCAGCCATTTAAACAAATATATCTATCATGTCCTCTCAAATTTAAGCTAAACATTCCTAAAATCTTCTCTTGTTCCTTACAAGTCCTGGTTTCCGTATATCTTCTTATTCTTTTCACTCTAAACTTACTCTAACTGATGACCACAACACATTTTCAGCTCCCATTGATTGTACAGTTACAATCTAAACCCTAACTATCTGGTATATATGATGCTATGAAATAATTCTCTGTTCATTTTTACTACAGCTTACTATTTTCATTCAAGCATAGGACTCTGTATTGATCTCTGTAAACTTGCATGATTTTTTCTATGTGTATTATCCATCTCTGATTTCTATCATCAGTGAGAAAACTTAGTGAGGTGTTCAAGACTGGATTTTTTTATATGGTTAAAAAAAATGATCATGGGTGAGTTGTACCTACTCCTATAGAATGGGCATGTTTTTCTCATTAAAATTATTTATTTAAAAGAAACAAATAATAGGTCACATTTGTCTCTAAAAAGAAGATTAACTCCTTCTACTATCACCACCAACAAGGTTTGTGTATAAAATAACTTATAAAGACTCAGGGGTGATTAGAGGAAATTGTTGCACAGAAAAAGCAAACTTGGCACCAAACACTAAGTAGTACTTTCTATGATATTAGAGAGCCATTAGTCTTCTCATGTATAGAAGGGGCTTGAACCAAAGGATTCTGGTATTTATGTAAGTACTTCCCACCTAGTAAGAACTTGAACATTTCCTGTCTGTGTTAGAAACTGTTATGGGGAGCAAGTCAGTCTAAAAATAATAAATGCAGTTTAAGACTGTATCAGTGAAAATTAACATAATATTGATAATAACTACCAAATATTTGACATTTACTATTTGCCTAGAATTATGTTAAGAAGTCCATATACTCCAACTCATTCATGGCTAACACAAAAATATATGAGTTGTTTATAATTGAGTCCATTTTGTAAATCAGTAAGTGTGTAACTTGCCTAATCTCAGCTAAAAAATGACAGAATCAGAATTCAAAACTGGGTATAAGCTAAGGCCACTGGACTGAACACAGTGAAAAATAAGGTTCCATTCTATTAAAGAAATAATTTCTAACTGTGGTACTTACCCAAGATAGAACGAGTACCATAAAAGAAAATGAGTTACCTGTTAACAAAATATTCAAGTATAGCATAGAACACCATGGGTAGGTTTCATGGATGTATGTTTCAGGAGGAAATGACATAATCCTAAGAACGTACAGTAGGAGATTGAGGCTATTTGGGGTCGTTGTGAGGAAGAGCTGTTTGGTAGAGACCTCGAGTGAATATTTGGATTCAAAGATTCTGTGATGGAATTTCTCTGAAATGATGTGAGAAGAGTGATTTAAAGAGGTTCCTAGTGGTAAAATGTATCTTGGTGGTACACTGGAGGAGAAAAATGGAGAGATAACTGCTAGGCTGTACTAAAGGAAGAAAAAAAGTGGTAGAATATGATAATAGTTAATAGTTACTGAATGCTTACTATATGTCAATCATGTACATTGATATTATCTCTAATCCGTGCAACTACCTTGCAAGGTAGCAATTTTTATCTTTATTTTACAAAAGGGTAAAATAAGGCTCATAAAAGATATATAACTATCTTAATGTCCCAGAGCTAGTAATTATCTCTAATTCCAAAGTATATGCTTTTATACTTGATGCTTTACATATGATAACTGATTCTGTTTTCTGAAGTTGGGGCTCTTAAACTCCCTGGACCAATAATATTTTTTATATTGTTAAGGGATACTTGACCTCTCTGTGGGCACTAGAAAATTTCAATGCAATACTGTTTGGGAATCCAGTGCAATAAGAATAAAATTGCACTGGGAGACAAAGGACGATAAAGAGAGAGTCCTCTGGTCACCAGCTTTAAATTGTTCTGGCTTGATTACCAATAGAATGTTGAACACATTCTAGGGCATGGAAGTAGAGGCAGGCAATATCAATTTCAAATCTTAAAACACAAACATGGAGGGACCAATAGTCATGTCCAAAAGATCACAGGTCTATAAATTCATGATTTATACCCTTCAATTTAATGCTTATTTATTAAGTGCTTGATGACTAGCACTTGATGCTGAGGATATAGAAATTTTAAAAAACAATGCTTACCCTCAGGAAGTTCATATTCTAGATGTTAATATCAACATAATAGAACTGATAAGATACTGAGTACTAAACATGGTTAATTACTAACCATGTGCAATGGAACAGAGTAAAAAGGTATCTGTGTGTGGGGGTGGTGGTCAGTGATTATTTCATGAAAGACACAACATTTGGACTGAGCTTGAGACGTTGAATAAACTTTTAATAGATTAGGAAATGCCATTCCAGGCTGCATGATGAACTTAGAGGGGTGGCAATTCATGATATGTTTATAAACAGCAAATAAGTCTGAGAAACTAGAAAATAGGAAACAAAGAATACAATGGATAAAAAGTCTGGAAGATAAACATAGTCCAATAGAGATTTCATGCTTCTCACTGGAGGATTTTAGAAAACCCATGGCCATGTGTAGCAGACTACGATGGAGTTGTCTAAGGAACTCATATCAGCACTTTTTCTCTGAGACTTGCCCTACTATTTCTTAGGTGTAGGGACTTAATTTGTCATGCTTGTACTGCTTGATCCTGTATCAAACTTCTGTTGATTATACCACTTTGGTATTAGCTAACTTGGGTTCATTAGCAGGCAAGTTACTTAGGCAAATTATTTATTATCTTGAGGTATTATCTTCATCACCTATAAAATGGAATTACAGAATCTTTTTTTTTTTTTTTTTTTTTTTTTTTTTATTCATGAGAGACAGAGACAGAGAGAGAGGCAGAGGGAGAAGCAGGCTCCCAAGGAGCAGAGAGCCCGATGCGGGACTCGATCCCAGGACCCTGGGATCATGACCTGAGCTGAAGGCAGACGCTTAACCATCTGAGCCACCCAGGTGCCCGGAATTACAGAATCTTGATGAGGATTATGTTAAAAATGCATTCAAGCCTTTATCACAGGAAATTGCCCATGGTAAACAAGAAACAAAAACACCCATCAACATGACTACCAATATCATCATCCATAATCATCATTGTTATCATTTTTGGCCAAACCGATTTTTTTCCTCCAGCTTTTAGAAATGAAGCAAAAAAATTAGAGATTGGTCTATGTCATTTGCTGAGGCTGCCAGTGTTAGAGGAAGGCATGTTTGACCGAATTCATGCTACATCAGAGAAATATCTACGGACAGAGAGAAACCAGAAATGCAGTGGTCCTACAGAAAGAAACAGAGACAAATCACTGCAACCCAGAAATCTGAGAGAGCAGCTGCCAAATTTCTGATGGCATCCCTGATTCCATTCCTTCATAATCTAGGTGTCATTGTTGCCCTGAGTTCTCCCTGAAAGCACTGTATCCTTTTTATAGATTATTTTTATTTTTATTTATTTATTTTTGCTCCAGGTAAGTGGGTTAATGCCACTAGCTCCTAAGGGGTCTTTTATAGCTCAGAAGACTACATCCCAAACTTGAAAGCAAAATTTCAGATGATGATACAGTATGACACCTGGATGGACTGATTGCATGACCCACTGGAGAGCACACCTAGACAAAGTGGAATCATGAGTGTACTTCCTGGGCCTTCTGGAAAGGAAGGTGCTAATTGGCAAATATAGTGATTTTGCTGCTTAATGAATCTCTCACACCTCTGTGGAGTAGAGTAAGCATTTCAGTAAACTGCATGAACTCTTTCAGGCCACTAGGGGACTACTGAGCATCATCTTCTCACCCATGCCCCAGAATCTGTTTGCCTATTTATCAGGTGCTTGGAGTATAGGAAAAGGAGGACAGAGTTTTGGGTTCAAGCCCAGTGATGAGCTCTGGGGAAATGTTATAGAAGTGCAAGCAGAATGGAAGTCTATTAACATGGTTTCTATTGGATAAAATGTAAATTCCAAACTTACCACCACGTAGAGGGATATTCTCAA